TATATATATATGTCTTTAATTAATCAGAGAACTGAATTTTTTTATGTGTTCTACCTGGACTTTACCTTTATGTAGAAATTGTTTTTCCAACTGTCATTTTTTTTGTTTGTTTGCTTCATTCATGTTTTTTACAAGGATTCTGTAAAATGATTACCCTCCTTGAATGCTATATGTGGTGGGGGTACATTAAGCCAGTGCCTGCTGTGCCTTCTTGCTGTGCAAACATGTCCATGATATACAGCTTACAGTTCTCTGATCTTTTAGAATCCTAAACCTTTGTTTACAAGTGTAAAATACTACTTGATTTGATAAAGTTGTTGTCATCAGAGTTCAGGTTTATGAAAATGGCAGAATCTATATTTGAACTGGGATCTGTATTTGTGGAGTTTTTCATGTTCTTCTTGTGTTTGTGTAACTTTTCTTTGGATACTTTTTTTTTCTTCCACCGATAAATCATGTTTGGGCTGCTTTCAGGCCTAGGCCTTCCTTGTCTGGAATCTCAAGGGGATTTGCCTGAGACAGATGGTGAGCAAATACATGTATTTGGCAACAGACAATGAGAAATGAACATTATTTACAGGTGACTGGCTAGTGACAGGCTGTAATGGATTTGTAACCTGTTTGGGTTGTACCCTGCTTCTTGCTCAAGGAACTCATGGAGACAGGTAAATTTAGAAACATGCTGGCAGCAATAAGCAGATAAAACACATGTTGTCCACTTTTATGTTGCTACAGGCCCACCTAGTGACTGACATTGCAAATTAGACTAGGCTATAAGTGTTTTAATAATTGTTAACACTTCTGTCCCAATATTATTAAACAATAAATATACATATCTCAGTTTCCATCAGCCCATACTTGTAACTTTCTACTCTAGTGGTGAATCCAGGTTTTCTGACAAACTCAAATAATTGTCCTATATTTTCTATGGATTTCCATTATACCGCCTAAAAGTTTAGAGAAAATCCAAAAATGGCGCTTTGCCACTGTATGTGACAGTTGTTTACTGATCACCTCATAATGTAAGCTGACTTTCTTCAGCACCTAGACCTCAGTCAGGCCTCATCACATGACCTTTAAGTCTGACGCTGACCTTTGTCGGTCCAGGTGGCATTCCAGTAAACATGGCATTGTTCATTGCAGAGTCAGTGTATGCTGAATTGGCATTTTACACTTCATGTTTGAGATTTACCTTTTTTTAACAAATATTTTCTACTGGGTGTGAGAGAGTAACAAAATGAACCTTGTGACATGAACTTTTTCAACAGTAAAAATAGAAATGATCCACTCTGAGACAATGGATCATCTAAAGGGATTTCCATCTGTTATTGAAATCTCACTTAGAACAGAGGAAAGACACATATTCATACTAGTAGCCTGTCGAACAAAAACTACAAGTGATAAAATTTAAAGGCTTTTATTAAATAAAGGAGATAAATTTAC